TATATATAGTTTCATTATGTGTCTTTTCAATAATAAAGTGTTTAAAGTTCATTTTCACACTGGTTCAGTAACAAGTTGTTTGTAGACACAAAAGTTCAGCTCTAAAGTTTAGGTCCCAAAACAATACTGCTTCAGAAACACCAGAGCCTAAATTAGAATCCAGAAGTCAGCTGTGCCGCACCTGTTTGACATTTTGCTCATCTAACCCAACCCTGCTCCCYTCAAGACATGTCTGAAGACGTTAAGTTCAAGATGTAACAACCAAGCAAAGAGAAGAAAAATGAGTTTACTGAGACATTTCAAAATAAAACACAGTTATATATAGGAGATATATATTTAGCAAATTAACCATAAACAATTGGACAATGAAAATATAACTGCTACTACAACTCTCACTGTGGATATATTTTTAAAATTAGATGTAAACAAAATAATTATTGATTATATTTAACACAAATGAAGTTGTTATACTGCTTTTTATCTCTTAACAATCCTCTACAAAGTTCCTGGGATAGCTTTCATGATACAAGTCAGAGATCACCAAACAGTCCAAAAAAAAATGTGGATTTTTTTTTTGTCTTCACTTCCTGGAGACGGACTTGCCTTTGGCCCCACGGGAGGTCTTAGACAATTTGGAGCCCCTCTGGTGGTCGCTGACTCGGTTTCGGAGCACATGTATTTCATACTTCTGCCTTTTCAGCTTTTCAGCTAGCTCGAACTTCTCAGCGTGCAGGTGATGGAGCCACTGCCAGAGGTCCTGCGCCTTCTCCACCAGCTTCTCCTGGCTTAGGTGGTCTATGTTGAGGGGCTTCTTGCGCTCCATCAGGGCCTTCTTCTTCTCCTCCCGAGCGGTCAGCTTTTTGCCCTTCTTCTGCTCAACCTTCTGCAGGTAGCCGCCGAATGACTTGTTGGAGAATATCTTCTTCTTCTTGGCCTCCTCCTCTGCGCGCAGCTTGGCCGCCTCCTCCTCGCGCCTCGACTTCTCCTCGGCCACCCGTGCTTGGCGCTCTCGCTCTTCCTCCGCACGGACACGCTGCTGCTCAGCCCTGTCGGCGCGGCGGCGTTCGATGCGGCTGCGGAGCTCCATCAACTCCTCCTCTTCCTTCTGGCGGCTGGAAAAGTGTTGCTCTATGAGGGCCTGGAGGTCGTTGAAATCCTTTTCTAGTCTCTTGCGGTGGAGGTCGTCGAAATCAACCTTCTCGCCATCGGGGAGCTTTGGAGGAGCCATGTTTGGGACGTAAGTGGTCTTATGTCGTGGTTTGGACCCTTCGTCGTGCTCATTCTCCTCCTCTTTCTTCTCATCCTTCTCGTCTTCCTCCTTGTACTCCTCCACGATTTCCTCAGTGTCGGACATGATGGCGTCTCAAACCCAAGCAATGACTGGACTCCTCTATGCGCAGGGTGAGGGGTTTTAAGGGTTTGCCTTCGTCATGTGACCATTTGGCGACAGTCTCCAGGGTGTGGGTCAACAACAGGACAGATTTTGAGACACATGGATTGGTCTATTTTCTCCTCCACCAAGTCTTGTCATAAACACTCGCCTACTTTATCTACCAAAGACCCCCCCTCCCTGCTGCCATCTCTGACCCTACAGGGCTCCTCATTCCTTTTTAAGGACAAAATGAGAGACTATTTCAGAAACACAACAGATGTACGTGCATACTTGTGCTGTCCAGTCCCACAAAGCGACACAGGGCATGTCCCGAACAAATACCTCCCATACTTCGAACAGCCAAGAAGAATCTACCAAACTCAGGGGAAGCATTTTTCATTCTGACTTCCTCTGGAAGAAAAACTGTTCAGCTATATCGCCTAATTTAAAAGCGACAAACGCCCAAAGCTTTAGCACAAACTCTTAAGTGCACCACAGCTTAAGAGGATTTTAATGATGGGGCGTTAGCACTGTCCSATTTACCAGGATTAACATTTACTTTTAATATCCAAATGTAAATATTAAGTCAGTTGGTCTGCAGAGGCGTTCTTACAGAGAACCACCTCTGTAAGAACAATGGTGCACAGAATGAGTGTCACAGCTCCGTTATGCATCCTCTTAGGAATGCAATTAAAAGTTTATTGCACTGAGTGGCCTTCTGCTTTAAGCACACAGCCAATTACAGCACTATTCCGCCAACACCAAAGTTTAAAGARGACAATTTATATTTCCAAAAGCCCGGCGTTAAAAGGACAGAGCTTTAATGGGATGACTGCGAGCAACAGTTGCTCTGCAGCGTCTGGGAATCCCAATTAACTTCCTTGGGATGAAGCTCCTGATGTTGCTTTTCTGTAAATCTACATGATAGACAACACTTATTATCTACGGGGGATTACGTTTCAGTCGTGGTGTAAGTCTTGCGAGGCTCTGTCTGAGCTAAGAAAAGCTAATTGTGGCCTGAGAGGATCACGACGCAAAGTGTTCACGTCCCGTGCCTGTCTCAGCCCAGGGAGGGCTGATCAAACATGCCTGTGTGCAACACGACAACAGCAGGTGGTTCCAGTAAAACCCCGAAGCCCTCCTGGTTGCTGCTGTCAAGGGACAACTGTGTCTATCATCAAAGACAAACAACAAACGCTGGGAGCTAAGTATATCTGCTGTTTGATAATGTGCAGAAAAAATATGTTTTACGTGTTTGAACTCAGATATTTGTATTTGGTCAATGTGGTAACAAAGTGAAGAATCTCTTAAGGAGATGGTTTTTATTTTGTTTACGTAGTGTACACAATAACACAAAAAAGGAAGTATTCAATTGTAAGGCTTACAGTMCCCTCATGTGGTTAAAGCTGGATACTACAGGTGAGGAGCTGTTACACAACCAGTTGTAATTGAAATAGTAAGTAACTTATTTTTTTTATTTGCTCAGCCTGATGAATAATAGACGGTTGTATCATTAAAAATAAAAAAAAATACAAAGTTTGTTATAAGTCAATTTATTTAACAAATAAAACTACAACCTGGTCTGTGTGCACACCTGAGTACGTTATGGATGTAATGAGCTAAAATAAGCTCATAAAGTAGAAATATTAGTGCTGCTTGGGGAATTGTGAGAACTGATAAAAGCCCAGGGATTTAAAGAGAAACCAAATGTTTGTGGAGGTTGGTGAGTGTCTACGGTTTTCTCCATGTGATGCAGGAGCTGCTTTATGATGCATGTGTTTTCTGAAGTCTGATCATACAAGATTTTAAAAGTTGCATTTTGTTTTATTTATTAATGTAACCCCTTTGTGAGCGTGTGCTGAAGTGCTCTGGTGAAGATTCTCAGTCAACCATTGATTAAGCTCCCTGCACAGGAACTGAAATGTTGTCAGAATCAAGGTCCAGTTGATTGTTAAGGGTGCTAAAATAATAGAAATACAAATTTAATGTCAGGTTTAAGATTTTAGATGTTTCAGCTGTCATCTAAATAACATTTTCAGCTCTGATCATAGCAGTACCTGGTTCTGTGGGTCATTACCCCTCCATCAGGTTGTTTGTTTTGGTCACATGTTTCAAAGTGTAAATGGTGGCGAAACTGTCAGGAGTCAAGGCGAGACCACCTCCTCTGTATAAGGCAGTTTTTTTCCCATGTTTGTTGGTTTCTAGAATTCCCTTTTATAAATCACGTCTAAAATGTGCACCTTAATGTTGTCCTTCATTGTCACTTAATATTTTCAGATGACTTTGAATCCACATCTATATCCTCGCCAATTATTGCCAAAAATTTAATGAAACTTTCCAATTATCTTCAAATGACACAATATGTTTACTGTATGACAAATTTTTAAAAAACGAAACATTAGACATAATGTAAAACTGCACAAAACTACAAAGAAAGCAATGTAAAATGACCAAAACATAAAGTTTTTCAAACTATTTTAGGCCATTGGTTTTAACCTGAAGGGCTAATTTGTTTCAGCTGCTGCCGAGCTTCAACACAATGAAAGTAACGTTTTTCTTCACTACTTGCTTTAAACTACTTTTTTTCTACAAACCTGGAGTCTCTGTGCTGATGGGAAAGGATGGCAGCAGCATCCAGTCGCTGTTTCTCTTTTCCCGCCTTGCGGCGGCGGTGTTTCTAGACGTTTCCCACGACGCCACGAGCCAAGCTACAGCCTGCTCACTGTCACGTGCCTCTAACGTGCTCCGCTATTTTGACTCCGCCCACCAGGTTCTGTCATGTTATGAAATCAAAGCAGCGGCAGAGCGGTGTTTATACAGCGAAAATAAAAATAAAAAAAACACCGAAAGTAGGTCACATAAACCACATTAATGCATGTTTTGTTTAAGCAAACGTTGCCTGTGTGCTTTCTAGTCGTCGTGTTGTTTATTCGAGTTTGTGCTGCTGTTTCGGTGTCGTTTTAGCTGTGTAATACATACATAACAAGCACATGCTGCTTCACATGTGCGAGCTGGCTGACGGCAGGGTTTAGTGGTGTGTGTTCGGCCTGTTGGTGTATGCATTTTAACAAAAATTACATTTGTTTTAACACTGCCGTTACATTACTGCAGAATTACCACTRCTGGTCACCGTCTCTCTGATCATTGTATTTAGCATTACTAGACGAGTACTTTTAAAATCAAAACTTCTTTTGAATTTCAGCCATTATATTTTGCAACAGAAAATCAAACTTAATAAATGAGAATTTACACGTCGGAGTTTATATCAAAGAAAACAAGAAACTSTTCAGTTTGTACATTTATTAATCAGGAGTTTACAGGGGGCACCATGATGTGAAGCCTCTATTCCTCTCATTCTAATGAAGCATAACAAACACAGGCAACAAAAGGATGTCATATGACCTGATAAGGAATGAGACACGTTCACACGTAATGACAGAGAACGATCAAAACATTTGTGTTAATAAGTATACATCAGGTGGCTTAAAAACTAATGTAGGAAAAAAATTGCAGGCATATGGTTGTACTAGCACAGACAAGAAGCTTTCTCTGCTTTTTTGTTTTAATGTACAGATATTCTGCAAATGTTTTTGTCTTTTGTTTGTTTTTGTTGAAAATTGGCCCCCCTCCCCGACAAAAAAAGAAATAATCCTTTCACATTTTCCTCATATCAAAAATATATCAACGGGTCTATGGCTATGCAGAGAGAAAACACATCAAATCAAAATATGTACAAGTTGTGTTTGAGCTGCAATTAGCAAAATCATTATATACAAAAAAGGATGTTTGTCCCAATGTTATAACCCAAAGAGAAGCACGGTCAAACAGCTGCTTCAGTCTCGTCAGCACTGCCTGGGATGTGCAGTCCTCGGGATAATTTACAGTCCGTTTACTTGAGAGTTAAAAACATTTGGTGATGGGGACGGTTAGGGTGTTCAATCTGAAGGTGCGTTCATGCAACACGGTGCTGGAGCAAACGTTTTAGTGCCTGTTTTGGTTTTTGGTGTGATGGGTGCTGTGCAGGACCACCTGGGACGAAAAAAAAAAGAGTCACGTTGAAGCATTAGACTTTAAATTCAGGAGTTTCTGCAAAAATGCAGTGTGAATGCCTAATGCTGAACATTTTTTTTGATTTTTTTTTTAAAAAAAATCATAATAATGAAAAAATACAGAAAAAAATGTACAAAATTGTTGTAAAATAGACAAAAAAAGCAGAAATTAGCAAAAAAGCACATTTGCTGAATTAAGCAGCTGAAAGAAGTAGCTAACACAAAAAAGGTGAATTTAACTGATAAAGGCCCAAATTATCTTAAATTACAGAAAAGAGCTAAAATAAGCAAAAATTTTGCTTAAATTAGCAAAAAAAATAAAAAAAGGGCACAAAAAATTAAACTATAATAGCTGGAAAGAGCCGGAAGATAGCTGACAAAGCAGAAAAAAGAAAATAAAGAAACTGAAGGAAGCCTAAACTAGCACAGATTAAAAAAGCAGAACCAGAACAAAAGGTGAAAAACGCAGGAGAGGTTTAACTATTTTGAAGGATTTTAAAGTTGTRGAAGAAACCTCTATTCTTTTAAAATGAGAACAAAAATGACTGAAAAGGCTGAATATCTCATTGTATAAACTGCTGAAATACCAACAAAAATAAAGTTATAGTAAATTAGTACTAACATCAGTGGTTGCTCTGTCTCTGGACTTTGGATCCCCTGCCGTTCCCAGAGTCCTCATTGTGTCTTTTCCCACTGGTCTGTGTGGCGAGGTGGTGTTCAGGGCCTAAATGAATAAAAAGCAGTTAAGTAAATATTTCGTTTTGTTTTTAGACAATCTCGAAAGGGAAAAAAAATGTTTTAGATTATTGATTTAACATAGTTTTAGTTTTCTTCTGCTCACCTTTCTGGATGACAGGAGCTTGAATCTGCTGGCTGTTTTGTGTGTAACACATCATACTTGTACCTGCAGCATAACCTGGAACTTTAAATTAAAGCAGAAAACGGTATTAAAAATAAGGAAGAAAATTAAAATGTCTGTACAATATGTTAATTATTAAATTTAAAATGATCCCCACCCTGCTGAGGAGTGACAGCATTGTTTTGTGGATCGCTCTGAATGTACATCATGACTCCACTTTGCCAGTCTCCTTGTGGATGAACAGGCATCTGGTAGGCTGAAGAACAGAACAAAAAACATGATCTCCATTCTTCCTTTAGCCCCCTATTAGAGACTAACCATTGACTGAAGCCCTGACAGCAGTAGAAAAAAAGCTAACTTCAGATTTTGAGAGAATGTTGTTTCTTTTTACCAGTTGGAGCTGCAGACTTTTGTGACACTTCAGCAGGGAATCCCATCCCATCTGAGGAAGCCTCATTGTTTCCGTTACCATTAGAGTTGGACGGAACTGTCGCCAAAAGACCTGAGAATACAATCAACAAGGAGAACAAACACATAAACAAATCATTGTTTTAATTTTAAATCATCTCTTGATAAAATATTTGTCTTCTACAAATCCCTGTGTTCTCACCCAGGCCTCTGTAACAGGAGAGCTGCTGGTAGATCTGTTTCATTCGCTCGATGTTGATACAGCTGGCCTCGGCGTGGTTCACCATTGGTTTTGGATAATGGACACCAACAATACATTTGGCAGCTTTCTGCACCGCCTCTGGAGCGTTCCACGGGTCGTAAATATACTTAGCTGGAAATCCCCGCAGAATGGGCAGGTAGCGTCTGAACAAGAAAACAAAACAAATTCAACGTTTTTTAAGTAAAATATTATATTGTTGCGGAATTAGACAACACTGATTGATGTGTTCTAATCGTACCGTATGTAATCTCCATTAGGGTCAGTGCGCCGGCCAAAGCCGACTGGYCAGTAGCAGTGGAAGAACTGCTGGAAGAAGGAGCTGCAGGACAGCCACATCCAGCTGCCTGCGTTCACGCTCCAGTCTGCATCCAACAGCAGCTCCTCAAACACCTGGGTACACAAACACAAACAGGATTGTGTTAGCTGAAAAAAAAAGGATTAAATAACTTAAGAACAAGATTTAGCTTTATCTCCCAACATGTTCTACCTTCATGCCCTCCTCCCAGCTGACCCACAGGTCTCCTCTCGTCAGGAAACAGGCCACGGCGTGCCTGGCCAGGTGGTGGATCCAGCCCTCCTGCCGCAGCTGAGTCATGATGGCATCGATCCACGGGAAGCCGGTCTGGCCCTCGGCCCACTTGGCTAGCGCCTCGGGGTTTCGGTCCCACGGGATCTGGACGCAGATGGGGTTACTCTCCATCTTGTCGAAGCAGGGGTTGTTGGTGGCCGTGGTGTAAAAGAACTCACGCCACAGCAGCTGGCCATAGAGCGACAGGGGAGGGGAGCTGTTCTTCTTCACCTGTAATGAAGCATTTGTAAAGAAACGGTTCATGACTCAGCAAATTGATTTATTGACTTGTTCTGTTTTTATATAGCTTGGACTAATCATTCAATTAAAAGAATTCAGTTTTAGTTACTGATTAAACAAAAAAACTTTGCCACTCCACAGTTGAGTCATAATATTCAGTGCATCTTATCAGCAGAAAGCTCAATGACATCGCCTATCATTAAAATATACAAATTTTCAAAGTTCAGCCCCTACAAGTAAACAACTAGTCTCATTATACCCTCTCAGTGGATACAAATGGTAGAAGGAGGAAAACTAATATTGTTTGTGCTGTTTAGAAATACCTGGACAGAAACTAATCGTATCTTTGGCCAGATAATCTGAGCCAGCACAAATGATTGTTATCAGGCAGTTTTGTCATCGTGCTAATGGGACAACATGCTCCGTAACTCTAAACAAAGATTGGAGAAGGCCAATCCTCTAGGGGAAACGCTGCTTAAGAGTCATCAGGTTTGTAAATACGCTTGCCTTCCTGTAGAGGTCGGTGAGTTTGAAGTAGAAGAGGCGACAGGAGAGGCAGCCGAAGCGCAGGTACGGGCTCAGGCCTGTAGGGCTGGCGAGCAGCGAGTTGGCGTTCATCCTGGGACGCTCGAAGTTGGCCACCCACGCCTGATAACACAATCACACGATCAGTTGAAAAAAAAAAAGCAGAAGGTGTTGTGTCTGTAAAAACTGTACTTTAATCAATCGGACCAACCTTTCTTTCCAAATGTCTCTCGAGTCGTGTGAGAGCTTCAGTTTCTCCTCCGGGCCACACAGCTGAGGACAGACCCTCGGTGTCAAAACCTGCAAGATTCACACAAAAAGCATGATTTAATTCTGAGTTTTTGTTCTGTTTTAGTATTGCAATTAGATTTTGGCCTCACTCACCCAGTTCTTCCAGCGATGGAACCCCAAACTTGTCATCGTGGTCTTCAGACAGGGGTGTACTGCATTTCCCCATGATCTCAGCTGTAATGGACTCTGCAGGCATTTCCACTGGATCCATACGACTGATGAGGGTCTGGAACCGCTTGTAGGTGAGGGGGGACTGACCCCCATTTAACTCTATGATCCTGAAGGTCAAAAACAATAACAAAGTTGTCATAAGCCAAACAAATGTGCGGGTGATTTTACCAAAAGATAACTTGGATCATTTGAACTCACTTGTCCAGGTCATAGAGGGTGTGGGAGATGCGAACAGTCACCTCCACTCCAGCCTCAGAGGCCAGCTTCTTAATGGCAGCATCTCTCTCTTTCCCYAAGGGCTCAGAGTCGTACTCGTAAGACAAACGACTGATCTTCCACTCCTGCAAAACAAGGAGGAAAAATATTCTAAATGAAGGATTTCCACAATATATCTGTGCTGCTCAGTGGTTAACGCAGCAGACGTGTCACCTTGAAAAGRCTGGGAAAGACATCTGTGGGTTGGCCTCGAATCACAAACAGACGAGAGTTGAGCTTACGGAGGCTGGAGTCCAAATCCTCAAGACTCTGCAGCAAGAACCTGCAGAATGACAGGAAGAGGGATGTCAAACTCTAAGTTTATTAATTATAAAATAAATGTAAAAAACATGTCAGACGGGTCGACTTCATAACCTCATCCTTGACCCATGGGGTGTCAAGTTGTGCAGTTTGACATTTCTATGTTAAAGGGCACCATAACATAATATGTCTCAGGATGGATGTAAGGTTGTGTGTTTTCAAGAACGCAAAATAGGTTTCTTTATTTAAACTTTTAAGGTTGCGATGACCTGATCACCTACGAAGTTCCAAAATTAGAAATGTTAAGAACCCTGGTCAAACCCGTAAGAGGTCCATTTGGCTACATCTAAACCCCAATCCAAAAATGTGCAGTGCCGTGAAAAGTCCAATTATTTCTTTATAAAAAGCCCTGAAAGGGTTTAAAATATGTCAGCCAGCAGCTCAAATGATGAGTCATAAGACATATCTGTTGTCAGTTCTGATGGGGAGACATGAGGACAAACAGAAACTTAATGCTGGTGAAGAGTCCAGTTTCTGCTTAATGACTCGCTGATAACAATGAAGAAGGCAGATCAAAGGGACTACCGGTACTTGGATTTGTATGAATAAGAGCAGCTTTAAAATGCAGATTATGCTCTAGTTTATTGACTGATTGGTGCAAAAACAGCGAGATCAGCTTTAAGGAGCCATCTCTTAGCAACCTGGTTCAATTCAATATTTCTTATCAAGTCATTTCACAGCATATAAATGAGTTACTTAAAACAAAAAATACAAAAGTGTCTTTTCACTTCTGAAAGCAAAATGTCTTATTTTCCATTTTGCACAAAAACAAACCAAGATACAGCAGTTCTCACACAGTATTTTTTATTCTGTCTTATAAATTCAGTTTATTGTTTGGGCTTCTGAGATGAAATGTAAGTTCTGTTCCTGTCAGTGTCTCATTTGACTGAAATGAGACATTTCTCTGACTTTATATTAAAAAAAGCATAAACTGACTCTTCAGACTGAATCACACAGACACCAGATGACTCAAACAACCTTCAACATGTTTAAATATCTCTATACGCAAAGTCTGTCAGCATAAACAAATACTAATGACCTAACAGACCCAAAATTTACATATTTTTCCTTTCACTATTTATTAACTGTGTTGCATCATTTCTAAAATAAAATTTGTACTGTACTAAGAACAACCCAAAATAAGATATACCAAGAGTAAARGTTAGTCAGAGGTGTACGCAGAGCAGCAGTAATGTGGACTTCCTGTACTGTTGCTATAGGCACCAAAATAAGGAGGAGGCGGCTTCCTGCATCATTCCAGCCTAATCAAGTCTTAACAAGCAGGACGGTGTGCTATAAATTACTTCTACTTGCAGGAACATTTAAAATACATAATTCTCATGGCTCTGTTTTTACAACTGCAAGTGAAATACTAACATTTTAGTTTATATATGTCCTCACAGTCAGTCACCCAGGCATCTGAGCATTTGTCTTATGAGCTAAAAAAAACACGACTTTAAGGAGTTTCCTGAGACGAGAAATAGAAGAACATAATCCAGCATTTACATTACGGTGAAAGATGTCACATACTGTATCTTTATTGGATGTCATTAACACAGAGAATTTAAAAAAAGCTTATTGTTTCATTTAGTTAACTGATTATTTCCCATTAGACCGTGCTAGAAGTTTGCCAACTTGGTTAGAAACCTGTTAACAGATTTATCTGTTTTTTTATTATTATTTTCATAAAATATTAACTAATCATTTTCAAATGCTAAAGGATGTTATACAGACACAATGATTGTACCTTTTCAACAACGCACATGGTAAAATAAAATTGCCATTATTGGGATTGGTCCATGAGTGTGGACAAAGACAAAATGTTGGGACTTGCTCCCAGCAGTCATGTACTTTAACACTGTGAATGATCTAACTGGCAAGAAACGCAACTATGCAGGAACTACATTCATTAAAGTAATAGTGTCTGTGAAAGAAGTTTGTGCCATTAGATTAGTATGAATAATTTGGTAATTTGTTTTGTTCACCTTCATGCTTTCTTAAGTTTGGGATATAATGAAAATTCCACTTTATCGATMTATCTGTTTGTACACCCTTTAACCCAACAGTACACAACTATTATTGACCTCTCACGTGCATTCTCTTTAGTACAAACTTGGTTTTGGTTTGTTTATCCTACTGAGAAGTCAGTGCCTGGATGTAGGAAGATAAGAACTATGTACTGTAAATAATAGCTTTTTTATTCATAAAGGTAAAACTTTCCCACTAGCTGAGCACATGATTTTCTTCATCTCTGTCTGTTGACCTCCAGAAGCTTTTCTGATAGTTAGTGAAACAACTCTGCCTAAAATCACTGTCCCGGTTCAGGGGGTGTTTGGGGTCGCTGGCTGTGTTCTCCTGAGGTCAGAGTGACACAGCAAGGCTAGACTCAGACCAACTGACCTAATACAAAACACAGTCACTGTAAGCTTTGTTCATCTGGCCAGCTTAAACAAATCTGTACAACGCTGCTGAAAGAAATCTATTCGTGTCTGTTCCCRGACACCAGACACTCCTACCTTCTTATCTTCTTTCTACAAACTCCACTAATTGCGTCCTGGTGGCAGGAAACCCTTTTATGAACGTGGGGTCACCAGCTAAAACTCTGCAAGCGATTCACTGCATAAACACGATCTGAAAAATGCGTATCAGACGAATTAACTGGGATTAGAGCGAACGGCGGAGTCGTTCGTTAGGGAAAGACACGGGGTCTCTTGCACGGGCGGGAAAGCAAAAGTAGGTCAAAAAGACAGGCGAGTTGGACGTTTTACTACTAACACGCTGACCTACTTGTGCCAGGCGAGGGGATGTGAAGCAAGGAGGGAAAGTTTTTGCAATGATGTCATGTGACATGTTTTATGACAAAAAATTGCTTCTTAGATCTAAAAAACAGGAGTGTTTTTTTTCTCCTACTTTTCCATTTGCAAATGTGTCAAAAGCTGGAACGGATGCTCGGCACACAAGCAGCAAGTTATACTAGTGAGCTTTTATAATACGCAGCTGCATTCACATTTGGAGCAGGATATATTTTTGTTGCTATGATACTCATCAGCTTTGTTTATTCTTGTAAGACACCAATATTTAGCCACATTTCTGCAACTTCAATTTTTTTGGAACTCGTTTTATATGCAATGTAAAAAATAAAAAAGGCTTATTTTTTTTAATTAAAGGCAAATGTTGACCTCATGTCTGTTTGACGAAGTAAAACCTTACACAGAGGATAATGTTTATGCAGATGAAGAGAAAACAAATGCAAATCAAAACGGTCAGGTCTGCGTAAGCTCTGCGTCACCCCAGGAGATAGTTGTGTAACAGTGGAAGAACGTGAATGCTCAGAACAGGTCATTTTATCTGCTACTGCAGCTCGTATTTATTTATTTTTTCCTTTGGAGATGGCATTGAACTAAACCACAAATTAAGTCCTGCAGAAGGAAACAAACACGCGAAGCGAGATAATTGCTGCACGTGTGAACTAACAAATCTGCCTAACGAGACGCTGCCGTTTTCACAATTAGAAACAAACGTTTGCGTCACTGATCAAGCAGAAGAAGAAGCGAGGCCGGGCGTTTTGACTGGCAAAGGCTCGCGCCGTAAAAGCGAAGGTTAAGTGTTAGAATGGCGCAGGACAACGCCAGTGATAAGACTGTAAGCATCACATTAACGTCAACAATTCTCACTCTCTAGTCTATCCATTACGTAGCTCTGAACCATGCACAGCCTTCATGTCAAATACCTAAAACGATGCAAGGTTGAATGAAGAACTGCCACTTGAAGAAAGTTGACCAATGTGCAAAGAATCAAACCTTTGGAAGTGACTAGAATGTCAGTATTTTAGGTTTTGTTTAACACCCCCTAACATTAAATATATAAAAAGAGATATTCAGTAGATATGTAGTAAAAATAATGTAATGTGAATGTAATTCACAAGTCTCCTGTTTCTGTTTATTACTAACTTATTCACTGATGAAAACTACAGTCTAATAATTAATTACATGAAGGAAACCCGCCATTGACTTTCTGTTTATAATATTATTATTATTATGGGTGTAAGAAAATATCGATACACTGAAATATTGCGATATTTCATTTCCCGATACTGTATCGATATTCTAAAGGCCCGTATCGATTTTTTATTAAGGTTTAAAATGTCAACTTTCCTGCTAGCCGTTCATTTTTATGTTGTAGTTCAGCCTCTGACCACTAGTTGGCAGCAGTGAGCCAGTCATTTGGCTCCTCTACCTCTTGAGGTAGAGGCTATTATTAAGTGTTGGGTGACCATATTGTAAATTGATATTAAAAACTAAAAGCTGCAAAAAATATACTTTCAACCTATTTAT